AAAAAATGGTAAATAAAGGGTTAAAAATGGGGAATAAAGGGTTAAAAATGGGTTAAAAAAGGGGGAAAATGGGGTTGGGGTTACTGGTTTGGACTGGTTTGGACTGGGAGGGGGAGAAATGGGGGAAAAACGGGGAAAAACGGTGAAAAAATGGTGAAAATCGGTGAAAAAATGGGGAAAATAGGGGGAAAAATGGGAAATAAAGGGTTAAAAATGGCGGGAAATGGGGGTTGGGGTTACTGGTTTGTACTGGGAGGGACTGGGAGGGGAAAATGGGGGAAAAATGGGGAAATCGGTGAAAAAATGGCAAAAAATGGGTTAAAAATGCCAAAAATGGGGTTAAAAATGGGGAGGAAAGGGTTAAAAATGGGGATGAAAGGGTTAAAAATGGGGGAAATGGGGGTTGGGGTTACTGGTTTGGACTGGTTTGTACTGGGAGGGGACTGGGAGGGGGAGAAATGGGGAGAAACGGTGAAAAAACGGGAAAAAACGGTGAAAAAACGGCAAAAAAAATGGGGTTAAAAAGGGAAACAAGATGGCGGAAAATGGCGGGAAATGGGGTTTCTGGTTTATACTGGTTTAAACTGGTTTAAACCGGTTTTAACCGGTTCATACTGGGAGGTCACCGGAAGTGCTCAAAAAGGGCGAAAAAACGGGAAAAATCGGCCGCAAAACGGGCGAAAAAACGGGAATTTTGGGGAACCGGAAGTGGGCGTGGCCTGGGATCATCCTGAGCCCCGCCCACAAAAGAAAGGGGCGTGGGCTAACGAGGCCACGCCCCTTTCCGCAGTTCACGTCTTTGATCTCGACGGCGACGGCGACGCCCACACGGCCCTGGAGCTCAGGTGGGGGCGGGGCTTAGGTTGTAATGCTCTAATTTGCATATTCGGGGCGTGGCTTGAGTTTTAAGGCTCTAATTTGCATATTATTTGCATATCATTTGTGGGGGTCCGGGTTGCGCTTGGTTTAGGGAGCGTGGTCTGTGCATTAATTTGCATTTTGTGGGCGTGGTTCTCCTAATTTGCATTTTTAATGTGTTTGGGGGGGTCTAATTTGCATATTGGGGTGTGGCCGGGATTGGGGCGGGGTTAAAGGCTGGTGGGCGTGGCTTGAACTCACATGAAGTCCATATATGGCAAAGTGGGTGTGGCTTAAACCCCGTTATACCCATAAAAGGCAAAGTGGGCGTGGCTTAAATACTACGATAGCCATAAAAGGCAAAGTGGGCGTGGCTTAAGCCCCGTTATAACCCAATCAGGCAAATTGGGCGTGGCTTAAACCACAACAAACCCAATATGGGAAAGTGGGCGTGGCTTAAATCCCATTATAAATCAATATGGGAAAGTAGGCGTGGCTTAAATCCCGTTGTAACCCAATATGGCAAAGTGGGCGTGGCTTAATCCCCATTCGCCCCAAATATGGGAAAGTGGGCGTGGCTTAATCCGCATTAGACCCAAATATGGCAAAGTGGGCGTGGCTTAATCCACATTAGACCCAAATATGGGAAAGTGGGCGTGGCTTAATCCACATTAGACCCAAATATGGCAAAGTGGGCGTGGCTTAAACCCCGTCACAACCCAAATCTGGCAAAGTGGGCGTGTCTCCGCCTCTCACCAAGCCCCGCCCCCTCCCCAGACCGGAAGAACGCCGCTTCGCCGTCTTCTCATTGGCCGTGGGGCCGGATGGGCGGGACGTGGTGGGCGGGGCCAACGACGGCTGCCTCTACGTCTACGACCGGCAGGCGCAGGAGCGCGTCCTGAGGGTGAGGCCGGTTCCAACCGGTTCAAACCGGTTCGAACCAGTTCAAACCAGTTTGGGCTGGTTTTTTCCTTTGTTTCCGTTGTCCGCCATCTTGTTTCCATTTTCCGCCATCTTGTTTCCATTTTTTCACCGTTTCACCCCTTTTTCCCCCAGTTTTCCCCTCCCAGTCCCTCCCAGTATAAACCAGTACAAACCAGTAACCCCAAACCCCATTTCCCGCCATTTTCCGCCATCTTGTCCCCGTTTTCCGCCATCTTGTTTTCATTTCTCGCCATCTTGTTTCCCATTTTTCCACCGTTTTCTGCCGTTTTTTCACCGTTTTTTCCCGTTTTTTCCCCATTTCTCCCCTCCCAGTCCAAACCAGTACAAACCAGTAACCCCAAACCCCATTTCCCGCCATTTTCTGCCATCTTGTCCCCGTTTTCCGCCATCTTGTTTCCATTTTTTCACTGTTTTTTCCCCATTTCCCCTCTCCCAGTCCCTCCCAGTCCAAACCAGTCCAAACCAGTTGCCCCAAACCCCATTTCCCGCCATTTTCCGCCATCTTGTTTCCATTGTCCGCCATCTTGTTTCCATTGTCCGCCATCTTGTTTCCCATTTTTTCATCGTTTTCCGCCATTTTTTCACCGTTTTTCCCCGTTTTTTCACCGTTTCTCCCCGTTTTTTCCCCTCCCAGTCCAAACCAGTCCAAACCAGTCCCTCTCCCCGCAGGTCCCCGCCCACGAGGACGACGTCAACGCGGTGGCCGTGGCCGACGCCTCGGGCCAGCTGCTGCTATCGGGCGGCGACGACGCCGTGGCGCGGGCCTGGGACCGGCGCTGCCTCCCCGAGGGGCCGGCGGTCACTCTGGCCGGACACCGCGACGGGCTGACCTTCCTCCACGCCAGGGTGGGGTCACTGGTTTATACTGGGAGGGACTGGGAGGGGGAGAAATGGGGGAAAAACGGGGAAAAAATGGGAAAAATTGGTGAAAAACGGCAAAGAAAGGGTTAAAAATGGGGAAAAATGGGGGAGAAAGGGTTAAAAATGGGTTAAAAAGGGAATTGGGTTACTGGTTTATACTGGTTTATACTGGGAGGGACTGGGAGGGGGAGAAATGGGGGAGAAATGGGGAAAAAATGGGAAAAATTGGTAAAAAATGGCAAAGAAAGGGTTAAAAATGGAGAAGAAAAGGTTAAAAATGGGTTAAAAAGGGTTAAAAGTGGATTAAAAAGGGTTAAAAATGGGTTTGGGGTTACTGGTTTGTACTGGGAGGGACTGGGAGGGACTGGGAAGGGAAAAATGGGGGAAAACGGGGAAAAAACGGGGAAAATCAGTGAAAAAATGGGAAAAAATGGTGAAAAAAATGGTTAAAAATGGCAAAGAAAGGGTTAAAAATGGGGAAAAAAAATTGGGAAAAAAATCAAAAAAAAAGGGAAAAAATGCGAAAAAAATAAAAAAAAAACCCACAAAAAATTCCAAAAAAATGCAAAAAAATGGGGAAAAATGTCCAAACTGGTTTTTACTGGTTTTTACTGGGATTTCCTCCCTGAACTGGGCCAGGAGACCAAACTGGGATGTCTAAAAATGGGAAAAAAAATTGGGAAAAAATTCAAAAAAAATGGGAAAAAATCAGGAAAAAATCCCAAAAAAATCAAAAAAAAAATCCAAAAAAATTAAAAAAAAAAAAGCAAAAAAACTGGAAAAAATGGGGAAAAATGTCCAAACTGGTTTTTACTGGTTTGAACTGGGATTTCCTCTCTGAACTGGGGCAGGAGACCAAACTGTCATCATGGAAAATGGGGAAAAATCGTGAAAAAAATGAAAAAAATCGTGAAAAAAATCCAAAAAAAATCCAAAAAAATTCCAAAAAAAATCCAAAAAAAATTCCAAAAAAAATGCAAAAAAAGGGGAAAAAAAGGCCCAAACTGGTTTTTACTGGTTTTTACTGGTTTGAACTGGGATTTCCTCTCTGAACTGGGCCAGGAGACCAAACTGTCATCAGGGAAAATGGGGAAAAATCGTGAAAAAAATGAAAAAAATCGTGAAAAAAATCCAAAAAAAATCCAAAAAAAATTCAAAAAAATTCCAAAAAAAATCCAAAAAAATTCCAAAAAAATACAAAAAAAGGGGAAAAAAAGGCCCAAACTGTTTTTTACTGGTTTTTACTGGTTTGAACTGGGATTTCCTCTCTGAACTGGGCCAGGAGACCAAACTGTCATCACGGAAAATGGGGAAAAATCGTGAAAAAAATGAAAAAAATGGTGAAAAAAATCCAAAAAAAATCCAAAAAAAAATAAAAAAAAAATCCAAAAAAATCCAAAAAAAATCCAAAAAAAATCCAAAAAAAATCCAAAAAAAATCCAAAAAAATCCAAAAAAAATCCAAAAAAAAATCCAAAAAAAATAAAAAAAAATCCAAAAAAAATCCAAAAAAAATCAAAAAAAAATCAAAAAAAAATCCAAAAAAAATCCAAAAAAAATACAAAAAAAATACAAAAAAATACAAAAAAACAGGAAAAAAAGGCCCAAACTGGTTTTTACTGGTTTTTACTGGTTTTTACTGATTTTTACTGGTTTTTACTGGTTTTCACCGTCAGGGGGACGGGCGTTACGTGGTCTCCAACTCCAAGGACCAGTCGGCCAAGCTCTGGGACCTGCGGCGCCCCTCGGGCGCGGCGGCGCTGGCGGCGGCGCGGAGAGCGGTGGCGCGGCAGAGCTGGGACTACCGGTGGCAGAGAGCGCCCCGGAACGGTGACTGGTTTATACTGGTTTGGACTGGGAGGGGGAGAAATGGGGAGAAAACGGTGAAAAAACGGTGAAAAAATGGGGAAAAATGGTGAAAAAAATGGAAACAAGATGGCGGAAAATGAAAACAAAATGGCGGAAAATGGCGGGAAATGGGGGGTGGGGTTACTGGTTTGGACTGGTTTGTACTGGGAGGGACTGGGAGGGGGAGAAATGGGGAGAAAACGGTGAAAAAACGGCAAAAAACGGTGAAAAAATGGGGAAAAAAGGGTTAAAAATTGGAAACAAGATGGCGGAAAATGGCGGGAAACGAAAACAAGATGGCAGAAAATGGCGGGAAATGGGGGTTGGGCTTACTGGTTTGGACTGGGAGAAGCCGGAAGTGGATTTTGGGTTGATTTGGGTCATTTTCGGGTCAATTTTGGTCCATTTTGAGTCAATTTGGGTCAATTTTGGTTGAATTTTGCTCAATTTTGAGTTTTTCTCAATTTTGCTCAATTTTGGGTCAATTTCATTCAATTTTGGGTAAATTTTGAGTGAATTTTTTTCAATTTGGGCCAATTTTGGGTCAATTTTGCTGAATTTGGGTCAATTTAAGTCAATTTTGGGTCAATTTGGGTCAATTTTGCTTTATTTCCCTCAATTTTGGGTGAATTTTACTCGATTTTGATCAATTATGGGTGAATTTGGCTCCATTTTGCTGAAATTTGGGTCAATTTGGCTCAATTTGAGTCAATTTTGGGTCATTTTGAGTGAAATTTGGTCAATTTTGAGTGAATTTCCCTCAATTTGGGTCAATTTTGGGTGAATTTCTCAATTTGGGTCAATTTGAGTCAATTTTGGGTGATTTTGGGTGAATTTTGGGTTAATTTTGGTCAATTTTAGTCAATTTTAGGTGAATTTTACTCAATTTGAGTCAAGTTTGGGTCATTTTGGGTGAATTTTGCTCAATTTTGGTCAATTTTGGGTGAATTTGGGTCAATTTCAGTCAATTTTGTTTTATTTCACTCAATTTTGGGTGAATTCCACTCAATTTCAGTCAATTTTGGGTCAATTTCGGGTGAATTTGGGTCCATTTTGATCAATTTTGTTTTATTTCACTCAATTTTGGGTGAATTCCACTCAATTTTAGTCAATTTCGGGTCAATTTCATTCAATTTTGGGTGAATTTGGCTCCGTTTTCATCGATTTTGCTTGAATTCCGCCCAAATTTTCCTTCAAACTTTCCCCCTCCTCCACGGGCGTGGCCTGACCGCTGTCCCCGCCCCCTCCAGCCCGCCGGGCCACGCCCCTTCCGGGCGACGCCTCCCTGCTGACGTTCCGTGGTCACGTGGTTCTGCACACGCTCCTGCGCTGCCGCCTGGCCCCGCCCGGATTCGCCCCCGCCCTGGCGGCCGGCAGCGCCGAGGGAGCCGTGCTGGGTAAACTGGTTTATACTGGTTTATACTGGGAGGGGAGAAATGGGGAGAAACGGCGAAAAAACGGGAAAAAACGGGAAAAAAAAATGGTTAAAAACGGAAACAAGATGGCGGAAAATGGGGGCAAGATGGCGGGAAACGGGGTTTGGGGTTACTGGTTTGGACTGGTTTGGACTGGGAGAAGCCGGAAGTGGATTTTGGGCTGATTTGGGTCATTTTTGGGTCATTTTTGGGTCATTTTTGGGTCAATTTGGGTCAATTTGGGTCAATTTTGGTTGAATTTTGCTCAATTTTGAGTTTTTCTCAATTTTGCTCAATTTTGGGTCAATTTCATTCAATTTTGGGTAAATTTTGAGTGAATTTTGTTCAATTTGGGCCAATTTTGGGTCAATTTTGCTGAATTTGGGTCAATTTAAGTCAATTTTGGGTCAATTTGGGTCAATTTTGCTTTATTTCCCTCAATTTTGGGTGAATTTTACTCGATTTTGATCAATTTTGGGTGAATTTGGCTCCATTTTGCTGAAATTTGGGTCAATTTTGCTCAATTTGAGTCAATTTTGGGTCATTTTGAGTGAATTTTGGTCAATTTTGAGTGAATTTCCCTCAATTTGGGTCAATTTTGGGTGAATTTCTCAATTTGGGTCAATTTGAGTCAGTTTTGGGTCATTTTGGGTGAATTTTGGGTGAATTTTGGTCAATTTTAGTCAATTTTAGGTGAATTTTACTCAATTTGAGTCAATTTTGGGTCATTTTGGGTGAATTTTGCTCAATTTTGGTCAACTTTGGGTGAATTTGGGTCAATTTTAGTCAATTTTGTTTTATTTCACTCAATTTTGGGTGAATTCCACTCAATTTCAGTCAATTTTGGGTCAATTTTGGGTGAATTTGGGTCAATTTCAGTCAATTTTGTTTTATTTCACTCAATTTTGGGTGAATTCCACT